CCCCCCTCCAAAAAAAAAAAAAAACAGTGCGTTCGGCATTCAGGGCATGAGCCAACAAGCCTTCAGCACACACTCGCACTCATGTAGTCTCCATCTCCCCGTTCCTTAGTCGCAAGCAGATCGCTTGAATGAAGCATGAGGCTCCCCGTGATTCTCATCATGATAGGAAGCTCGTTTTTTTGTAACACACCCACCGTCTGCCCTGAACGCTAAACCCCAAAAGCCTAAAGCCCAGACCCTAGACCCAGACCCTAAACTAACCCTAAAGCCGAAGACCTAAACCCTAACCCCAAGCCCGCAACCCGAAACCCTCAACCCAGAAGAGAAGCAGAGGCGCGTGTCGCGCTGGCGGGTGGCGATGAAAACGAGAAGGCGGAGGATCTCCTCCAGCAGGCCATCTTTTCCAGGGGTTTGGCATTCTGTACGTTTTTTTTTTTTTTAAATGGGGCTTGATAGGTTTTTTTTGTAGGGTTTGGGGTTTAGGGTTTAGGCCTTCATGTGATTAAGTATCAGCATGTGATGAAGTATCAGAACCAGTGCTGCAAGATCAACAAACGATCAGCACACAGACAGGAATGATTGTGTGCATAGATGTATACATAGAGAGCCCCGAATCTGCACGCACCGCCTTAAACAAAAATCCCTCAAACCCAAAAGAGCCCTTATAGACCCCGGACAGTAGACCTTTTAGAAGCCTTTACAGGAGCCTTTATTCTGCCTCAAGCCGAGAAGGAGAACGCTGAATCCGCAAGCCCTTGCAGTTTATGGCTTAGGTTTAGGGTTTCGGGTGTAAGGTTTAGGCTTAGGGCACTGACAGCAGATCTACTTCTAAGCTCCGTTTCGGAGGTTTAGGGATTGGGGGAAGCCCAGATCTATCGTCCCTAAGCCCCATTCAAAGAGACCCGCACGGGAACCCTCATAGGCGGCCGCATTCTGTGAAACCTATCAGGACTTCTGACAGGAACACTTCCCCTAAACCCTAAACCCTTCAGGAACCTTGAAGGAACCTTCAAAAAGCCGGTCTAGGAATGCTAAACCCTAAACCCTAATCCCTAAACCCTAAACCCTAGAAAGCCAGGCTCAGCATTGGATGGCCGCAGCCCTAGACACGATTGGACTGAGGGGTTGGTTTGGGAGTTTGGGGTATTTTCAGCCTTCCTTGATACCAGTTTAGGGTTTAGGGTTTAGGGTTTAGGAAGTAGGGTTTAGGAATTAGGGTTTAGGAAGTAGGGTTTAGGAATTAGGGTTTAGGAATAAGGGTTTAGGAATTAGGGTTTAGGAATTAGGGTTTAGGAATTAGGGTTTAGGAATTAGGGTTTAGGAAGAAGGGTTTAGGAAGTAGGGTTTAGGAATTAAGGTTTAGGAATTAGGGTTTAGGGTTTAGGAATTAGGGTTTAGGAATTAGGGTTTAGGAATTAGGGTTTAGGGTTTAGGGTTTAGGAATTAGGGTTTAGGAATTAGGGTTTAGGAATTAGGGTTTAGGAAT